TTAGAAAAAAATGTAAAAATTATGGCGTTTGACTTTGTTGCTGTATTGAACTGCCACTGAAATAATTTTAACAGCTGTCGGACAAGTGGCTTAGAAATGACAGCAGCTTAGCTTTTTTTAATATTTTAAAGGGTTTAAATATTATTCAGCAATTTATGTGTTTAAGACATTTATAGAAATTTTTAGGAATACTAATTTTTATTGAAGACCCTGTCTTTAGATAAATATCGTGACCACATTTAATGTACTCAGAATTGCAAAAATTATAAGGTCCTTTCATCACTTCACTACCAAATAAAAATTTGACTTAAACTATCCCACTGTGCCCACGAAACACTGTAGATTCAAACTGACCATTTAGACTCAAATCAACCTACAAAGTAATAAAATAAATTTATTTTTTGAAAACATTTTCCAAATAACACTTTCTGAAAATATAATATTATCAACACTCATTTACATATACACAATAATATTCATATATTAAAAAGGAAATCACCACTATTTTTAAATACATTTCACAACACAACCATTCCAAGCGTAAATAATTCAAGGACAATTATTATTAAACAAAACAAGGCAATTTAACAAAGCGAGAAATTATATTAAATTTTTCAATATTTTTTCATAATTTTTATTTAAGCAAGCTTTTTCGGCGAAAACCAAAATTTAGAAAATTGGCAAAACTACAAAGGAAGTGCAACACCATTTGGAATTTAGAAAGCATTTTTTCAATGACCGAGCTATATATACACATACAAAGATTAAGTTGAGAGAAAAGCAGAACAAAAAAATATATGAAAACGAGTTCTTATTATTTTCAAAGCAAAAATGTGTATTTACTATTCTGAAAATAAATAAATAAAGCTGTGTAAATTAATTTTTTTTAATAAATAAATTGCAAAACAAAAATACCCAAAAAAATCGTTTAAGGTTAAACATTACAAAGCAAGGCATTATTTATTAAAATCTAAAAACCAAATATTTATATAAATATAATTAACACAAAAAACCCATATTATTATAATTATTATTATTATTATAAACTATTATTATATATAAAACAGCATTAGCATAGCAAGTATATATTTAAAAAAAATTAAAATTAACATATATATAAAAAGAGAAAAAACGCTGATTTATTATAAACAAACAAAAAAACAATATTATGATTATTATTAATTATTTAATTATAACAAAAAAACAACAACAATTGTTTATTTAACGGCTAAAGTAATATTGTCCTTAATATTTACATTTACATTAAAACAAAAACAAGCAAAAAACCCAACAAACAAACAACAACAACAAAACGTATATTATTAATTATATAATTATTTAAAATAACATAAAAAAGAATGATATTATAATGAAATGAGAAAATAATAATAATAAAAACAACAAAACAAACAAGAAAAAAACACTAATAAAAATTGTTTTTAAAAAATAAAAAATATATATTTTATTTATTATTAAATTAAGTTAAATGTGGTAAGTACTACCGACAATATGTCTGATCGATTGCCTCATCAGTGCCCAGACGAGGAGGTTAATATTAGACTTTTGAATGTGGATAAATATCCATGCATAAGGTTGAAAGGTATACAACCTAGGCTGAAATTGTATTTGTTAGAGCTCAAATCCGAAAACTTCGCTAGTAACATGCTAGAATGAATGAAAGAATTGCTGACTTGCATCGCAAGCTATGAGAGATAGAAGTATAGTAAATTGTGATTCTTTGTGGGGGAGATACCCGAAGGGGTGGACCAATATCTATCGCCTTCACACTAGATCTTACGTTGGAAAAAATATTGGGATGTTTAAAACTTGAAGCATCGGATGTTTATTTCTCATTTTATGAGAAATGTTATTATTCTAAATGTTGACTTTTTTGGGGGAGTCATCAGAAGGATTCGTCTTATGTATTCCATATTCACACCAGATCTTGTCTTAATAAAAATATTGGGATGTACCAAGATGGAAAGAAATTGGATGCTCATTTCGTATTTTATGAGCTTTATAGTCATTCAAAGTATCGACCCGATGAGGTGGGCGGTATTATGTTGGTAGATATATTGAGTGGTGTGATTCATTATTCAGTATTCTTCAGGTACTTGATGGAGTGGCCCGATTTTGATAGTAATATTCCGATGTACCAAGTTTAAATCAAATCGGATACGGCTTCCAAGATTTATCGAGCGTACCAGACAGTCACACGAACGGATGGACGGATACCCCTAGATCGACTCCAAATATCCTGCAAGGGGTTTTTTTTTCCAAAGAAACCTATGGTATACATCCGTTTTTTGATGAGACACGTTTTGTCCATATCATATGAGGTATAACCTTTGTAGTCATATGGCTGTGGGAATAAAAAAACACGTACTTTATATTTGAAAGGTACAAAAAATTCTAAGGAGAAGATCTAGAACTTGACATGGGGGGGTTATATTAATTTGCGCAAAATGGGTACACTTATACACTTAATCTTAACAATATGTTACTTAAAAGTATTTTCGAAACTAAAATTAAGTATTTTTTGTGCTAGAATCTAAATATTTGTTTGTAGGCCACTATGATATAAGATAAGTGTTCCGTTCCAGTACCTGCAAGAATCTACTATTTTTGCGATTTTCTTCGATATCATAAAGGGAAAATCGGTTATCGTAGTTAAAACTTTTACATTCTTCCAGTTCTGGAACAGAGCAAAGGTTATCACTTTTGATATTGGTACCAACACTTACAAACCAACTCTGGTCGTTATTGGACCATTCTTACTTTAGTGCGGTCAACGTCTGAAATCGGAAGAAAGAACCCCGTCAAACGTATTATTTCACAATAATTTGCACAAATACAATGTGTTTTGGTAACAAACCCACACCCTTTCATGCCTTAAAGACAATTAAAACATATAGGTAAATTAAGAGAGAACAAACAAGAAGGGCCTTTAATAACAGTCTCATTATTAACTCTTCAATTCAGGTCCAATTTTTGCTGTAGCCCACAGGTATCTGTACTACCTGAGTTTCGGTATTTAAAAGTCAAAAGTCAGGCTAGGCAGACTATATAATATCCTACACCACTTAAAATATTTAATAGACCTCCCATAAGAAAAGAATTTATGTGAAGTAGATCATACCAAGTTTTAATCTCATTTGACTGAGTATCATGGCTTTAGAGCAGTTATAATTTGGTTCTTGAAGGAACTAATATGTACATGGCAGGCACATCCAATTCTTAATCAATTTAACGGAGGCATTTTTACCTTTCATACCAAATAATATTGCGATAGAGTGCATGATATAAATTCGAGAAGGATTATATTAAAAATATATATCGGAGCCGAGTTCCACCAAATGAAAACGTGCATTTAACAATTCACTCCATTTGGGCTCATATTAGCCATTAGGTGCACAATAAACCTTAAATTGGATAAAGATATATATTTGGGAGCTATATCCAAATATGAGCCGGTCTTAATAAAATTTTCAGGGGTATTTGTGAGTTCTATAAAATATACGCATATTACGAAAGTGGGGGACTTAAAGACCAAATCAGATGAAACATATATATTGGATATAGCTATTACTGATTTTTACCAAATTTAAAATACTTGGGTCTAGGCTGAATTCGGTCATACGTGCTTAAATTCACTCCATTTGGGCTTCTACAATCAATTTGGTTGTATATGCCAAATTTCATCCTATTCGGACTAAAATGACACATTTGGTGGACAATAAAAGGCAAACCGGACGAAGATATCAATGGAAGCTATATTTTAATTTTGACTAATTATTCCCAATTTCAATAGGGTTCGTCCAAAACTATAACAAACAAACTATATGTGCAAAATTTCATCTTGATTGGGCCATCTATCCTGACCCGTACTTTGCTTACAAAAATACAAAGACAGTCGGACGGACATGCATATATCGACTCAGATCATCAAAAGGTATTATGGGTCCATCTTGTTTCCTTCTCTATGTTACAAACAAATTCACAAAGACAAAATACCCTGAGGACAGTGTGGTATAGGGTATAATAAATGTATAGCCCCCTCCACTATCAGAAAATGAAAACATTGGAAATGTGTCAGAATGCATCAATTCTAAATAAACTCACAAGACACTTATTCATTGCTAACAACTCTAAATGCCAATTGTTTTAAGGCCCTTAATAGGCCGAATTTCTGATGAAAATGTAATATGAATACTTGATTGTTCCAATGTTGAACATCTATTCGGAACATAAAATACTTGTTGCAACATCGAAATGAGAACTGATTCCGATGATTTTCGTGCAAAATTGATTATGACAATTACATTGTAAAACATTAATTTTTATTTATTAATTATAATTAATAATAAATTAATAAATAAAATAATGTGCATTGTTGAATATATTAAATGAAGCGAGTTTTTCCAATCGGACATGTCTTGTATGCATTGATACATATATATTTAAAAATATGTTATTAACTACACATACATTATAGCAGTAAGTTCGGCCGGACTGACTTTGAATACCCACCACCATTTGGCAATTTTCGAAAAAAAAAAATTCGTTAAAAATTCTATTAAAATCTTAATAATACCGAACGTAGCTGTTATATTAGGGTCTATACGACGACGTGGACCTGCACTGGCAACTTTTGTCATAAGCCATTACAAAACAAATTGGGCATGTCTTTTATGCATTGATTCATATAGACTTAAAAATATTTTACTAATTGTGGGTAATATTTATATATATAATATTAGACAAGATATATAAAAAAATATTTCATTGTTCTTCGACAAAATGAATACTTATTTTCTTTTGTATCAAAAAGTCACTAATCAAACACTGTGCTTCTTAATACACTATCGTTGAATTCAGAATTTTATTTAAATATTCATTTCTTTTGACCAGTTTTTCGTGTTCATTTGCATTTGGTAGCAACAGTAAACAAACAACAAGATTGTAGTCTAATTTAAGACAACTGCCGGCCAGCGACTGGTTAAGATGCTTGCAAAACGTAACACTCAGCATTCCGCTTTAGTTTATTTTCAAACGCGCAGGTGACAACACGGAAAGAAACCAAAACAACATAGACTCATAAACACCCCCTCCCCTTGCACATCAAACAATGAAAAAAGAATGCCGCAACATCTAACCAAATCGTGTCTCAGTGCCCATGATCAACAAGTCTTGGAATCGATTTTCAATCCTTTGGAACTGACATCCGCCTTAGCACCACAACTTATCAATGCTGATTCCACTGAAGTTTTAATAGACGTCGATGATTATGCGGAGCCCAAGGAGATTGTGGAAAAATCAAAGCTATTGGAAATCGAAGCAGTTAAATTGGTAGAAGAAAACCATTTGGATGAGGCAGCATTCGAGAAATTCAGAGAAGCCTTAGCATTAACCCCGAAACGAGCATCGATTTACAACAATAGAGCTCAGGCGTTGCGTTTGGCTGGCAAAGATGAAGGTGAGTTGCTGGGATGCGGTAATTTTTTGCCATGAAAGGATTTTTTTTATTTTAATGGAATGGTTGTGGAATTTACTAAGTATTTGAATTTCCCTACACTAATTTAGTACTGAAAGGAATTTTTTCATGTGTTTAATAAGGAGATATTCTTGTAGTGCAGACATAAACCACATGTGTTGAAAAAACGTAATCTCACCTCTGGGTAGCTGTGTTGTATAAATAGTATATAAATAATGTAACTTGACATTGTTTAAGAGGTAAAAATAAGGTTTTAATCACGTTTGCGTCCAAACGTCTTGTGCTAAAATATTATGATTTTGCAAAGGCTTATCTTTTACCTTTTACTTACTTTTGTACATTTGTACATTTACTTGTAAAACGTAAAGAAAAGATATAGAACTACATACAGAGATAGAGCTATATACTATATAGCAATCAAATTACGGAGCGATCTCAATTTGATTGCTCATCAAATTCGTAATATTCGACCGAATTCAGCCTAGAAGTAAGTTTATGAAACAGGGTGAAAATTAGTAAATATTTAAGAACAAATTAAAATAAAATCAATTTTTTTGTATTGTTCTAAAATATTGACCCTTTGAGAGAAATATTGAGATATGCTAAATTTGAAGGAAATCTATAGCTTGATTTTCATGTTATGAAATATAATAATTCAAACTGTTGATCCATTGGGGGGAAGGTACCAAAACGAGTGGGTATATATCTTCCATATTCACTCAAAATTAACCATAACTTGAAGTTGAAATTTAAACAAAATACCAATCTTCTTGTGTTGCCCCTGAACAGGTTCAGACAACCCCATCGTATAACTTGTTGGATTGATATTTCCATAATTGCAAATGATACCCATTTGTACATATCAGTCTTTAAGAACCGGATTAAACCCAAGTTTTGTATTCGAACCTTCGGGTTGGGTGATTGGGCATTTTCCTCACAAAAAATTACTTTGCCGTTATCAGTTTAAAACCAGTAAAGAAAAGTCTTAAAGTCGGTAGGGGCCGACTTTATGATACCCTGCAACACTTTGCTAATTTAGTAGAACTGCGCATGACAATTACAAGTTTTTATGGGAGAATTCAATCATACACGCTATGATTATAATTATAATTTAAAGTTCAAAAAACTATATATGCCGAAGCATTTGTATCTTTTAAATTCGGACTTGTATTACCCATTTGGTGCACAATTAATTTGAAATGGGATAAAAATATATATGGGAGCTATATCCAAATCGGAATCGATCTCAATAAAATTTGGCAAAGATATTTCTGAGCTGTATTTGATATATTTCCTTGAATATCGTTGTTACGGAGTGCATATTACGGCTGTGGGTAACAAATATGACACATCGAATGAACAATATATATGGGAGCTATAGCTGTATCTGAACCGATCTTCACCAAATTTGAGATACTAGCTTCTAGACTCAATTCGGTCGTAAGTGCAAAATTCCATGCTATTCGGACTGATATTACACGTTTGGTGCACAATAAAAGGCAAATCGGAAGAAGATATATATGGGAGCTATATCTAAATTTTGACCGATTATCTCCAATTTCAGTAGGGTTCGTCCTTGGGCCAAACAAATGATTTGTGCAAAATTTCATCTGGATCGGCTAATAAATGCGAACTGTACTTTGTTTACAAAAATACATGGACAGACGGACAGACGGACGGACATTCATAAATCTACTCAGAATATGATTCTATGCAGATCATTAAAAGGAACTATGGGCCTATCTCGTTTCCTTTTGCCTGTTACAAACAAATGCACTAAGACATAATACCCTGACCACCTTGTGGTGTAGGGTATAAATAACTACCCCATTATTATGGGGATTATGTCCGTTACTTTCTGGGGATTACGGCAAGGTGATTTTTCGTGGAGGAACTACCAGGTTATTGGACCCATAAACTGGACCGAGTTATTGGTTTTATCCGGTTTTACTTATTACTTACAAAAATTAGGAATTAAAACAAGTTAAGAAGTATCAATCGGTTCTGCCGACAGACTAATACCCTCAGCCATTGTTCGATTATTTAAATGCATTTGGACTTCTATTATGATTATTTAAACTGTCGACCTTCTATGGAGTGGGTTCTGAGGGAATGGGCCAATATTGTCTATTTCGTATGGGACCTAAATAGATACGATATAAATATGGGGTAACTTGGTAATAGGTTCGTCACTTCCTTTACTTTACATGACACATGTGATAATTTTTAGAAAATGTTAACATGTTGACCGTTTTATTATTCAATTCTTGAATCCTTTGTGGGGCATGTAGCAAAAGAAATGATCCGATCTCTACTATCTTTGTAACAGATCTTGTGTTGATGGAAATATTCAAATGTGCTAAGTCTAAATGGAATCGGATGTTAATTTCGCTTTTTGTGAGCTTCATGGATGTTCGAAATTTTTAACCTTTGTGGAGGAGACCCGAGATGGAGTAGACCGATATATCCCATCCTGAAAACTGATCTTGTACTAGTATAAATAATTGTATAAATAATGGGATGGGAGATATAAAGAGAACCTGATGCTTATATCGCGTTTTATGACCTTCATGGATATTTAAAATGTTAACCCTTTGTATGGGAGGTACCAGAAGGAATGGTCCGATCTCTACCGTTTTTATGACAGATCCTGTGTTGATGGAAATATTCAGAACCGCCAAATCTAAGTGGAATTAGATGTTAATTTATGAACATAATGGATATTCAAATTTTCGATCTTTTGTGTGGGAGGTACCAGAAGGAGTGGACCGATATATTCCATCTTAACCAGATCTTGAATTAATTAAAATATTGCGATGTGTGACATTTTAAGACAATCGGATTCTTAAATCACATTTTATAAGAGTTGTAATTTTTCAAAATTTTGACCCGTTGTGGGGGGAGGTACTTGATGGAGTGGACTAATATTATTCATTTTCGCACCTGACCTAGAACTATCGCAAATATTAGGATTTGAAAAGTTGGTACAATATCGGATTATCATTCCTCTTTCTGTGCAAAAAATATATCTTTTGAAAATTTCGATCTTTTGTGGGGGAGATACAAGAAGGAGTGGACCGATATGGCCCATCTTCCAACTCGATCTAAGTTTGATAAAAATATTACGATATACCAAGTTTGGACCAAATCGGATACTTCCTTCGAGAGTTATCGTGCACACCAGCCGGACGGACGGACATCGCTAGATCGACTTCAAATGTCCTGAAACGGATTTGGTTCAAAGAGGCCTAGGGTCCAAAACCATTATTTCGATGAGGAACGTTTTGGCCGTATCAAATGATATATACCCTCTGTAGCCATATGGCTAAGGGTATAAAAACAGTAAGAAACGTCAGGCGGGACCGACTATATGATACGATCTCGATAAAATTTAACAAAAGTATTTTCGAGCTCAATAAGCTATGGGAGCTAAAGCTATATCTGACCGATTTTCGCCAAATTTCATATGTTTTTCTCTAGACTGAATTCGATCGGATAATATGGCAGAGGTATTTCTGGGCTGTATCTGACATTTGGTACCAAATATCGTTCTTTTGAGTGCACATTACGAATGTGAAGGATTTAAACACCAAATCGGATAAAACATACATATGGGAGCTGTAGCTATATCTGAACCGATTTTCTCCAAATGTCGGAATTCATTCCAGTTGGAGGAATTTTACACATAGGACGCACAATAAAAATTGAAATCGGACGAAAATATATATGGGAGCTACATCTAATATAATAATATGTTTTGTGGCAATGGGATACAGTCCAAATTATTTGACGTAGAGCGCCAGGATTCTTGGTATTGAAAATGAGATATATCGGTCCACGTTTTGGTATAGTCCCCATATAACGGTACCTCCCGAGTAAAGGAGGGTATTAATGTTTTTTTTTTTTTTTTTTTTTTTTTTTTGAAATAATGTTATAATGTACGAAATTTCCTGAAAATCGGGCACCAGTTTCACATTTTTTGAGAGCAATTATTATTCAAAACTTTTGCCATTCGTAGGTGAGATAAATTTTGAGATACCCTCATTAGTTGCCACATGTAACCCATTGCCACAAAACATGTATAAATATATATAAATGATAATATGCTGAATAAAAATTAATTTATAAATACCTAATTACCAAAATGATTCTTTCCATTTTCAGATGCCTTCGACGATCTCAACAAGGCCATAGAGTATGGGGCAACGCAACACAAAACGAAATGTCATGCGCTATGCCAACGTGGCGTTCTCTATCGCAAAATGGATAAAGTCGACGATGCCAGACGCGATTTCGAAGAGGCAGCAAAAATGGGTAGTAAATTTGCTAAAACGCAACTGGTTGAAATAAATCCGTTTGCAGCTCTGTGCAATCAAATGTTGCGCCAGGCTTTTGATCAACTTAAGTGAAGGAGCTTTTTGCTGTGAAATTATTGTTAAATTTAATTAGTGTGTAGAAAATAAAACATAAGAAATTAATTGCGCATACAGTAATTTTTAATGGAAATGATTAGACTTTAAGGAAAAACAAGTTCGTTCACCAACCGATATCTACAAACCACTACTCAAGGTATTTGCAAAGATTCTCGGCAACTATCAAACCGATCGGCAAACAAATTCAATCCGATTGTTAATGTGAGAATAGAAATTTGTAATGGACACTACAATATATGACATACAATTCTCTATGCAGGCCCATGTCTTCGTATAGCCCACATATAACGGTATTTTGATGATATAAGCGACATTATTCGCCGGAATTGTATTTGAAGTTCGGAATCGGTAGTACAGCCAATGACAAAAAAATCATTTATTCTGGTTCTCTTTTTCATATATCCCCCATATGGCGGTTTTCATTTGCCGGTATTTTTCGACAATTTTTTAATTTTTTAAGTTCCTATCAAATGGTGGAGGGTAGTAAAAGTTCGGCCCAAAAACTTCAAATATCGGATGGTACAATTATATGGCGGCTATATGAAAACGTGGACCAATTATCGGCCATAGAAAAGCCAATCTGGAACTCGAAAAGCCAATTGAGATAAAACTATAACAAACTAAAATTAAAAACAAAAGAAATGATACGTCTTACTAACAGATCTTGTGTTGATGGAAATATTGGGATGTACCAAGTCTGGAATGGAATTGGATGTTAATTTAGCTTTTTATGGACTTCATGAATATTAAAAATTTCGACCTTTTATGGGGAGGTACCAGAAGGAGTTGACCGATATATTTCATCTTATCACCAGATCTTGAATTTATAAAAATATTGGGATGTGTGAAATTTGAAGGCATTTGTATTTTTAAATCACATTTTATAATAGTTAAAATTATTCAAAATTTTGACACTTTGTGTTGGAAACACTTGATGGAGTGGACCGATATTATCCATTTTTTGCACCTGACCGAGAACTGAGGCAAATATTAGAATTTGCAATGTTGGGCCCAAATAAGATTATTGCTTCTCTTTCCGTGCAAAAAGAAAAATATATATATATTTTTATACCCTACAACACTATGTGTTGGGGGTATTATAAGTTTGATTGGGCCAAAAATTATGTAACACCAAGAAATATTGGTTTCCCACATAGGAAAGTATATATGGATCTTCCTAGCTCGCCGAGCTGAGTCGATCTAGCTATGTATGTCCGTCCGTCCGTCTGTCCGTCTGTCCATGTTAATTTGTAATCACTCTACAGGTTGCAATTATGGCTCGATCTTCACGAAATTGAAAATGTAGGTGGGGTTAAGGTCAGAATAGAACCCTATTTCTTTTGGAGATGATCGCATAATATTTAGGGGTTGAAATGGACCAAATACTGAAAAAATGTCGGAGTTTGCAGTAGCTATACAGGTCGCAATTACAGATCAATCGACGCGGAATTTCGCATGTAGCTAGAGTTTAGGGCAGGGAAGAAGCCTACCAATTTTGATGGTCATCGGGTAATATTTAGTGGGTAAAATAGACCATATCTTTTGTGCTGAAAAAATTCAAAATTTTTCATTAAAACGCGAATATTTTAAATCCCGTCGAAATCACAAAGCCATGACAAGGGTAGTTCTGATCTTTACATTGATGTTAACATCAAACAAATCGGATATATAGCAAAATATGTGCGATATATATGTCTATCAAAGATGATATGCTTGAAAGATCTCTTATATGTCGAGAACGGCTGATCTGATTTCGACAATTCTCATTAATTCAGAATGGCCTCTTGGCAGGAAAGAAACTACGTCTAAAAAATCGCATAAAAATATCTCTCTAAAGATGAAAATATTGTTTTTCTAACATTTTCTTATATTTTTTCAATTTTGTCACATTTTTGGCATATTTTTATTTTGAATTAAACATTTGGTAATATTTCTGCAGCTAACAAAACTAAGTAGTTAGGATATCAGGATATCATATACAGATCGCATTTATGGTCCGATCCTAACGAAATTTTGCATGGGGATCAGATGAGGGTCGGATTAGAAGCCTAATCTTTTTGGATGGACCAAACAACTGCAAAATTGTCAGCAGGTCGTAATTATTGCCCGATTCTCACGCACGTTTGAATGGGGGTTACGGGCATTGCAAAAAGCCAAGCTGTTTTGGATGGCCATTCAAAAATATTCAATATGTGAAATAGTTTGCCAACTTTTGTAGACAAAATACGAAAATGTCAATTCCAGTGAATTTTTGGAGAATTCACAAATACAGCAAAGACGCACTTTTGACTATTTATGTAACGCTGATTTCGTTGAAGAATATAGTCAAATGTCTGTATCTCCTATAGATGCGTTTCAGTCAAAAACCAATAATAAATGTTAATCTTTTGCCACTTCTGAGAAATTATAGGTCTTTGGGAAATATTGGTTCCAGATCTAGGAAGACCATTTACGTGCAACATCTACCAATAAATTGGAAATGGGAAAATGAGCTTAAGTTGCTATTATTCGAAAATTAGAGAACGAAACATGATGGTTTTCCTTTATTATTTGTCACAATATCTTGTGGAATTCTTTCGAGTATCTCGCCTATATAAACAGTATCGTTTATTATAGTGTTGTAGGGTATTACACGGTCGGCCCCGCTCGACTGTAGCCTTTGCTTACTTGTTTTTTTTTTTGAAAATACCAGGTACCCGAAGGAGTAGACCGATATATTACATCAGACCTTAGGTTGATAAAATTATTGAGATGTGTGAAATTTAAAGACAATCGGACTCTTACATCACATTTTATAAGAGTTGTAATTATTCAAAATTTTGACCCTTTGTGGGGGAGGTACCTGATGGAATGGATCGATATTGTCCATTTTTGCACCCGATCTAGCACTGATGAAAATATTAGGATTCGCAAAGTTGGAGCAAAATCGCATTATCGTTTCTCTTACTGTGCAAAAAATTATTTTCTTTAAAAATTTTGACCTATTGTGTGGGAGGTACCAGAAGGCGTGGGCCGATATTGTCCATCTCCGAACTCGATCTAAGTTTGACAATAATATTACGATGTACCAAGTTTGGACCAAATCGGATACTCCCTTCGAGAGTTATCGTGCGCACCAGCCAGACAGACAGACGGACGGACGGACATCGCTAGATCGACTCCAAATGTTCTGAAACGGATTTGGTCCAAAGAGACCTAGGGTCTTAAACCGTTATTTCGACTAGGCACGTTTTGACCGTACCCTCTGTAACCATTTGGCTGAGGGTATAAAAAATTACTGATGCAGTTCTTCGTATAGCCCTCATATTACGGTTTTCATTCAAACCATATTTTTTGACAATTTTTTTTCAATTTTCTTTCAAATGGTGGATGATAGTTGCTTTTTACCTGTTTAAATTAGTTTATAAATAACTAATTAACAACATTATTCTTGCCTTTTTCAGATGCCTTCGACGATCTCAACAAGGCCATAGAGTATGGGGCAACACAGCACAAGACGAAATGTCATGCCTTATGTCAACGCGGCGTTCTCTATCGCAAAATGGATAAAGTAGACGATGCCAGACGCGATTTCGAAGAGGCAGCAAAAATGGGCAGTAAATTTGCTAAAACGCAACTGGTTGAAATAAATCCGTTCGCAGCTCTGTGCAATCAAATGTTGCGCCAGGCTTTTGATCAACTAAAGTGAAAACTGTTTGTTTTTAAATATTTGTTAAGTTTCATAAGTTTATAGAAAATAAAAAGAAAACAAGTTAAAAAGTATCAGTCGGTATTGCCGCCAGAGATATACCCTCAGCCTATGTTCGATTATCTAAATATATTTTGACTAGTGTTAAGGTTATTCAAACGTTTGACCCTCTATGGAGCAGATCCCGAAGGAATGGGCCAATATTGCCCATTTCCTATCGGACCCAAAATATGATATAAATATTTCGACAGATGTGCCAAGTCTAAATGGAATCGGATGTTAATTTGGCGATTTATGAGCTTCATGGGTACTCAAAATTTCAATATTTTGTGGGGGAGGTACCAGAAGAAGTGGACCGATGTATTCCCCCTTCACACCAGACCATGGGCTAATACAAATATTAGGATGTGTGAAATTTGAAGACAATTGGACTTTTACATCACATTTAATGAGATTGTAATTATTCAAAATTTTGACCATTTGTGTGGGAGGTACTTGATAGAGTGGACCGATATTGTCCATTTTCACACCTGTCCTAGTACCGACGCAAATATTAGGATTCGCAAAGTCGGAGCAAATTCGGATTAGCCTTTCTCTTTCTGTGCAAAAAATATGTTTTTTTTTTTGAAAATTTCGACCTTTTGTGGGGGAGATACCGGAAGGAGTGGGCCGATATTGTTCATCTTAACACCAGTCCTTGGGTTAATATAAATATTGGGATGTGTGAAATTTGAAGACAATCGGACTGTTACATAACATTTTATGAGAGTTGTAATAATTCAAAATTTTGACCATTTGTGGGAGGGGGGAGGTACTTGATGGAGTGGACCAATATTGCCCATTTTCACACCTGACCTAGCACTGACGCAAATATTAGGATTTGCAAAGTTGGAGCAAATTCGGATTATCCTTTCTCTTCCTGTGCAAAAAAAATATATTTTTTGAAAATTTCGACCTTTTGTGGGGGAGGTACCAGAAGGAGTGGACCGATATTGCCCATCTCCGAACTCGATCGAAGTTTGACAAAAATATTACGATGTAGCCAATTTGGACCAAATCGGATACTCCCTTCGAGAGTTATCGTGCGCAACAGCCAGACAGACAGACAGACAGACAGACAGACAGACGGACGGACGGACGGACGGACATCGCTAGATCGACTCCAAATGTTCTGAAACGGATTTGGTCCAAAGAGACCTAGGGTCTAAAACCGTTATTTCGACTAGGCACGTTTTGGCCGTATCAAATGATATATACCCTCTGTAGCCATATGGCTGAGGGTATAATAAATAAATTGTGGGTGCTTACATTACATAATCCGCACATTCCCATTGCGTTATCAGAAGGCTGAAATTATGACAGGCACAAACCCTCATTCGGGTATACCCGAACAGATGTATACCCTCAGCAAGTGTTCGATTATTTAAAAATATTTCGATTTCTGTTATGATTATTCATATTGTTGACCCTCTATGGAGTAGGTTCCGATGGAATGGCCCAATATTGTCCATTTCGCCTCGGACCTAAATAAATACAATAAAAATATTCCGAAGTGGCAGGTTTGGACTATATTGGTTATTTTCTTCTTTTATATGAGATATGTGATTTTAACAACTAAAAAGCATCTAAGTTCGGCCGGGCCGAACATTTTATAACCTCCATTATTTGGAGGGAACTTGAAATTTCAAAAATAAAAATTCCGTAGAAAAGTAAGAATCAAATAAAAATTCCGTTGTATAGTACCGCTCAAATAAAAAACTTTATATTGTGGCTATTCAAAGACGTGGTGCTGGATGAGTAATTTTCTGTCATAGGCTGTGGTACTGATTCCGAACTTCAAATACGGAATTCGAAACAATTCCCGTGAATAATGTCTCTAATATCATAAAAATACCGCATAAAGGAAGGTGTGGGCTATTCTAAGACATGAACCTGCATTGACAATTATCCGTCATAGGTTGTAGTACTCAATTCGATCTTCAAATACGAAATTTGACGCAATGCCGGTGAATAATGTTGCGAAAATTCTGGAAATACCGAATATCTCGGGGGAGCGTTATATGGATGCTATACTAAAACGTAAACCTATATAGACAATTCTCTTCCAGGGGTAACGTACTCAGAGAGAACTCCTTGTGTGGATTTTCAGAGTATTCCATTGAAAAATGTGGCTAAAATCATAAAAATACCCAATATCGAAGACACCTTTGTATGGGGGCTATACGACCTATATGACAATTCTGGACCTATGTAGACAATTCTCTTTCAGGGGATAAAATGGTCACGAAGAACTCTTTGTGTAGAATTTCAGACAATTTAATTGAAAAATGTGGATAAAATAACCATCAAAATACCCAATATAGGGGCACCGTTATATGGGAGCTATACGATATCGTGGACCTATATAGAAAATTACCTTGTAGGGGGTAAAGTACTCACAGTACTCACAGTAGTAAAGTACTTCAGACAATGCCATTGAAAAATCTTATTATAATCATGAAAATACCGAATATCGGGAGGTACCGTTATATGGAGGCGTTTCGATATCGTGGACAGATATGGGCTTTATCTTTTACATGGACCTGGCAAAAAATTAGTGGACCTGGCACAAAAGACTAATCTGTACAACATTTCAGCTTTCTACCTTAATTCGTCTTGACTCTAGCGTGATTACAACAGGCGGATGAATGGACATCGCTAGATCGACTCCAAATGTCCTGAAACGAATTTGGTTCAATCTATCTGTCTAATCCCGTTATTTCGATGTGACCGTTTTGGCTGAGGTTATAAAAAGGGTCATTGTTCTTTCCCCAGCTTTGAGCCATATTTTAAGTATTTTGAAATTTATTTTAATGTAGGCAACCTTAACTCATACCAACCATTGGCGTTCCAGTGTAATCCAGATGGAATTCTGCAACATTACTTTTTTATAAAAACCAAAGTCAATTCATATTAAAGCGAATTCAACCCTAAAATTGAAATCCTTTTACAAATTAAAACCCATTAATCGTAATTCGGGTTAATCACAATTGCAATCTGCTTTTCCCCTTATCACAAAATATAGGTCAACTGGTCAATTTTCAATATTCATAACCTGTCCGGCATAATCAATAATCCATAATTACCAAACGAAAAAAAATGTTTCATTTATTTTCAATCTACCTCAGAAAGCAATGCATATCTTAAGGATAACACCTTGTAAAGGATAACCAGCACGAAATGCATAACTGCAGCAGGAACTCTTTCATCAATGTCACTTAGAGGACGACATGGGCTAATTATAAAACAAAACAAAGCAAAAAACCAGAGTGTGGTGTGAAAAAGGCACTGAAGCTAATCTTGAATACCTAATTTTGGCAATTAAGCTTAAAAGGATCCACTTCGGTATTCGGTCATCGGATGAATGGATGGATGACTGGTCAATGCCTTGCCTTGACCAACCAACGACGAAAAAACACCTTTTAAGGATTTCCCTTTGCAATGAAGGAGCAGCAAAAAAAAAAAAAAGTCAACCCTGTAATGACATTTGCTGATTACAAATCGAATCGGATCGATCTGAATTTATCTGCTGTGGACAAGCAGAGCCATTAAGATGAAATGTGATCCTGTGACCAGGCTATGTGACAGTTTTACATATTGTAGAACACATGTTCGCCATCCCAAAGAATCCTTACACAATGGCCACTCTCCAAAGAAACAAAAACCCCGAGGAGAATTGCGACATTAACGACTTCCTTAAGACTTCCTGTCCTTGTTAACTTAGCTCCAGCTCTGCTATTTACATTAAGCTTTCACTGCTTGTTAGTCAACAAAGCGAAAAGATGAAGATGAAGATCAAAAGTCAGTCCCCCCAAAACTGCAACCGATGAAAAACGCAGCCTAAACTCTCCGATATGGCCAGCCATAATTCCGTTAACTAACGATTAACCATATATCATTTGAATTAGTCTCGTGTTGAAATCGACCATCATTGATTTACAACTTGCTGCCAGTATTAAAAAATACAAATTTCATTAAAGCCAAAATTCGGAAGGGGGAAGCCAGTACCTTACATTTAAGCCGAAGACAACGAAGAAGACGACGACGATCACCAAAAGAAAACCTGTCGCATTTCATTAAAACGAACCTGGAAAGGGGGAGACAATTCCGCCACCGCAGCCAAGATTGGCACAAGGTGCAAGGTGCGTTTTTGAATGCTTTACGATTCACTTTGTTGCTGTTGTTCACTTCACTCCGTTTTGTTTACGAGCTACAAGGGGAAACGCAGCGCAACGAATGCATTTCCAACCTGACAAACTGCAACTGTTGCTCTCACAACACTGGCCCTTGCCCCAGTCCGAACGTAAAACAAGTGTGGCACGTGGTCAACAGCTTTGAACGATTGGCACGATTTTGTAACAATTCTGCGTTAAGATGCAATTGCAACTGTTGCTGTTCGTCAAAAAGGACGAAGTAGAAGATTTTGCTGGCCCCTTGAAAATGAAATGAGGTTTATTCTTGATTCTTAAGGGATTAGTCCTGAATTCGCCCCCTACCCTTCTTTTGTGAGGAATTGTTTGGTTATATTTTTATTTTGCATGAAAAATCCGTACGGTTTTCTTATGTCTCTTCCCGTATTCGAAAATAAATGGACAACGGTACACCATCACCAATAACAAATAAAAAGGATTAAATTGAGTTGGTTTTTCACCTACAAAAGAATGATCGGTATGCTGAGTATTTCATTCCATTTGTTACCAGTTTGTGCAGAAACACATAAAGAAATTTAAGAATAAGTAAAAAGGTCTTTATGTTCGACCGGGACGAAATTTTTATATCCTGCACCACTATGTTTATCAGAGTAAAATAAATGATGATGAAAGAGTAGAATATGTTAAGTTAAAATATCATTCCGTTTTAATTAAAATAAAAAAACCAGGAAGGAAACCTAAAAAGTCGGGCGGGACTATGCATATTTAATAGGGCTCCTGCAACAAAAAAATTATTTGAAGTAGATCATACCAACTATCAACATTTAGCTTTAGAGCAGTTATAGTTTGGTTTCAGAGGGAACTAATATATAGGACTCATATCCACATCCAAATCGATTTTAAATTATAAATTTGACTGAGACACTTTAATCTTTTATACCAAATAACATTGCTATAGAGTTCATGATATCTCTTCGAGAAGGATTTTATTAAAAACATATATATCGGAGCCGAGTTCCACAAAACGGAAACGTACGTCCCGAAATTCACTATATTTGGGCTGATATTAGCCATTACTTGCACAATAAACCTTGAATCGGATTAAGGATATATATGGGAGCTATATCAAAATCTTAGCCGTTCTCGATAAAATTTGACAGAGGTATTTCTGAGCTTTATAAGATATCTGGTACCAAATAGCATATTACGCATGTGAGGGACATAAAACCCCAAATCGGGTGAAACATATATATGGGAGCAATAGCTATTTCTGAACCGATTTTCTCCAAATTTAATGTACTTGCTTCTAGACTGAATTCGGTCGGATATGCAAATGTTCTGGTCATTAGGGCTTATATTAGTCATTTGGTGGACAATTAACCCGAAATCGCATAAAGCAACTCAAAAAGTGATTTTATGAAGA